GCTCAGTTCTGCTGTCCTTTTATCTCATTATAGAGTCATTATTATATCGTCATTAAGGTTGGAAAAGCTCTCCAAGATCATCTGGTCCAACCATCCCCCTACCACCAATGCAACCCACTGACCCATGTCCCCAAGCACCACGTCCAGCCTTGAACACCCCGAGGGACAGTGACTCCACCACCTCCCTGGGCGACCCGTCCCAACGCCTGAGCGCTCTTTCTGAGAACAAATGTCTCCTCATTTCCAACCTAAACTTCCCCTGGCACAACTTGAGGCCTTTTCAAATTGTACTATCACTTCTTTGTCAAAAGCAGTGATTCAGAATAGAATGCCTTTGGGCCTACTTAGTGTTATGGAGGGAGGGGTTTGTACAGTAATTGAGCAAAGTTGTTGAACATATATTAATCAGGAGGGCAGGACTGAAGACCTACATTACATTTGGGAGAAAAGTAAGATCTTCCATGAAAGTACAACACAAGTTGAGGATTTATGGATTTATGGGAAATTTTGATGTCTTGGCTCCCAGATTTGGCATGGTTAAAACAGCTCTTTGTCTCCATTTTAGTATTAGGATTACTAATATTGTTAACTTGCATACTATTCCAGTGCTTTCTCCAGTGCCCTCAGCAGTCACTGGGAGATTGTGAGCTTTGGAAATGAAATAAGTTAAGGTACCAACTGGAAACTGGTACATATTTTATGCAGGGGGGTAAAGAAGTGCTGTAAGACCAGGGGCACGTTTATAGAAAAGGGCGGACTGAAGGGAGGTTAAAAGATTAATGGAAATTTTCTAAGATAGTTGTAAAGGGTTTCACAATCATTGCTGTGTTTGTTTTGCAACTACTGTTTTCCGATAAAGAACAGGCATGCGCAAACACTGTGTAATCTATTCCTGAGTGTTTATCAAGGATGTTCAAGACAATGCTGAACTTTCAAGATCTGGTCTGCTGGTTTTGTCAGCAACACGAGGAAGTATGGCCAAAGTTCACAGGGAGGAAGAGCTGATGAGGTAAAGAAGTCAGCAGGGGTCTTCAGAGACCACCAAGGAGAAAGATAGACTGAATGCACATGCAGTATGAGGTGGTGGCTTATGTAAAAGAATTCCCAGAAATTGTATAAATATATATGTATAGCTAGTATAGCTAGCATATGAACTGTGAAATTAAGTACATTACTGCTGCATTTCTATGCTTACATTTGGAAGCTAAATATGCAGGAGCTCAACAGTAATATGCTTTGCGCTGAAAACTAATGATGCGTAGTAAAACATCAGAAAAAGGTGATAATAGAGCCAGGAGAGATGTAGTGGAGAGACTGCTATAAACCATGTAAACCTCTGAAACTCTTTCCTGCGTGGCTGCAGTTGTGGTTCAGAAGGAGGCAGTATGCTGCAGCTGGTGCCCTCAGTTAGATTTCTCTGCATTGCTGGAGAGAAAAACGAACCTTAACCTTTGAGCCTGGAGTATTGGCTTTGAAATTTCATTCCTAAGTGGCAGCTGCTCCTGTTTTGCAACGTACACCTCATTGTACTAGGAAAGCATGTTTAAAGGACTTGTGTGAGACAGTTCAGGACAAAATATAAAGCTTACTGTTGTAGATATCCAAGTGGTAAAATCAACGTTAATGTGAATATTGGTGGGATTAAAACCATTCCCTTGCTGTGACTGTCACACAGTCAAAATGACGTGGAGCATGCAAAGTTAATACTGGCTAGCAGACCTCCTTAATGAAAGGAACATATTAATATGTGTATATTTGATAAGATACAGCTACTTCTTAAAAGCTTTGAAAATTTTCTTATCTGTTTAATTCATGATTGAGAACACAGACATGCAGCTTTATTTTTAAATGCTATTTTTAACTTTACAAGTGTGTTTAAGAGCATAAACTTGCTTAAGTTACTAAATTAGCATGAAAGGTGAGTCACTACATATTCGCTTATGTTTGGTAGAAAGAAACAGTGTTAGCATCCCCTTGTTTCTAGCAGCTTTGTTATTTTTAGATAAGCAGGAACTTAAAAGCACACAACTTTCAATAGCTTACACAGTAATGTTGTTTGGAATGTAGATCTATACAGATAATAGCTATATTTGTCAAGTAGATTGGAAGAAATAATTATAAAAGCCTCTTAAATAGCCATATTTCTTTGTGAGCATCAGCATCAAATATGTATTGCACATATATTATGGTGAGAGAAGAGGAATTATTGCATATTTTATATGAAAAAGGTGAAATACAAGGGATTATCTTCACATATGTTCATCACAGAGAATTTGTGCAATTCTGAGCAATTCTTATTAAACCCATAATTATACTACAATAATTATTTTAAAGCTTACAGTTCACAATTAACTTTCACTGAAATGAAAATCTGCTGACATACTCCTGTAAATGATTAAACATAATGACCTGTGTTTAAGAACATAGTGTCTTTTTTCTTTTGTTCTTTATTTTCAAGTGAAATCTTTTGATTTTTTTTACCACTATTTACTTTACTTGGGTCAAGTTGCTCAGCAGAGGCAAATAAATGCTTCAATATGCTAGAATCATTTGCTATATGCTCGTCATCCATTAATTCTTAAGCTAACCCATTTGACTTATTATGGTGATTCTATCAAAACTGGCAGTAGAAATAAAATTATTAAAAAATGGCTGGTGCAATTGTCCTCATTGTTTAGATAAAATTACCCAGAAACATTGCTAGGAAATCTGCTTTGTCTTTTTAGTCATTTATTTCAAAATGTAGTATATGGAAGCACTGAGAAACTGGCAGAATGCCTGCTCTGTGTAATGCCTTTGTTATAATACATTGTGACAGCACAGGCTCTACATTTTAAATGTTTAATTTTTTTTTTTTGGTATAATTTATTTAGTATTTCCCTTTCAACACGTAAGTCAAAATTCAAATGTTTCCTGCTGCTCAGGAGAACATTCTAGTTTTGTCCCTGAATCTGGCCTTTCAGAAGGTAAAATAGAGTTTTTGCAGTTCGTACTGGGAAACATCACTTGGAAGAAAAGCATTTTTTTGTTGTTTATAACGCCTTTACTGAAGTTATAAAAGGCAGATTTAAAGTTTTACTGTCATAATACCTTTTCCTGAGTACTATTTGATCAGCCGAAACACTGCTGTGTGGCTGTGACACGGCTCGTGAGGTGACGGGTCGCCCACCAGTATAGGACAGAAGCCCAGTGTCACCAGTTGTAACTTGCTTTGTGGCTGCCTCTTGTTACCTCAGCATCCTTAAATTCTAGAATCATTAAGGCTGGAAAAGACTTCCAGGATCATCTGCTCCAACCACCCCCTACCACCAATGTCACCACTGACCCATGTCCCCAAGCACCACGTCCAACCTTGAACTCCCCCAGGGACAGTGAAGCCGCCTTGGGCAACCCGTCCCAACGCCTGACTGCTCTTTCTGAGCAGAAATGTCTCCTCATTTCCAACCTGAACCTCCCCCGGTGCAGCTTGAGGCCATTCCCTCTGGTCCTGTCACAGATACCTGTGAGAGGAACCTGACCCCAGCTCCCCACAGCTTCCTTCAGGTAGCCGTATGCTGTGAGTGGATAGGAGCGTAATTAAGCGCATGCCTTAACATTTTAAACGTGATTTTAACACTTTAGAAGGGAATTTAACGTTTCAGCAGGGATTTTAACCCTCGGAACCGTTGACACCCCGTTATTCCCCGATTTATTTCCCCCCAACGAGCCCGGCGCTGAGGGACGGACGCGGCCCCGCCCCGTGCCCCTTCACGGGCGGCCGCTCGTCATCAGCGCGCGCGGGCCCCTGCTCTGGTCACGTGCCCCGCGTTTCCCTGAGGCGCCGAGCGGGCCGCGGGTGAGGGTCGGGGGGGCCCGGCCGGCTCAGGGACCCCTGGCCCGCTCCGCTCTGACTGGAAATTGCCGCCCGGGCGGCCCCTTCCCGCACGGAGCGGCTCGGGGGGACGGGGAGGGAACGGGTGGATCCCTCTTTAGGGCCGGGCCGCCGCGGTTCCCGTCAGCGCGGCCGCCTGGGGCTGGTTTCACCCTCACACAGCCTGGCAGGGCCTTAAAGTCGTGGGAGGGGAGGGCTCGCCGTGGTGGTGCCCGAGGGGGTTGCAGGCGGTCACCCGAGCTCTCGTAACGGCCTCTCCTCCGCTTCTAGGCTCGCCATGTCGCTGCCAACCAAGAGATGCGGAAGGCCCCCGGTGTTGTCGTTTTTGGAAAAGAAAAAGAGAAAGCAGAGCCTGGATAGGAGGAGGGGGAAGACGAGGATCTATGTGGGAAGCCACATCGACCGCTGGCTGACGCTCAAGGAGAAGCTGGACTTCAGGAACGATGCTGAAGTGGCGGGCTTTTTGTTGGACTTGTGAGTAGGCTGTCTCAGTTCTCCTCTGTTTACCAGTCCCAAGTAAATAACGCCTGGCATTAATTTAACACCAGCTGTATGTTTTCTTTATAGGTATGACAGTTACGACCCGTTGTTAAAAGCTCCGATCTGTTCCCTCCCAGGCAGTGTGAGGAGAAAGTGTGTGAGAGACGAAAAAGTGTTGTCAGACAGCACTTCCTTGATAGCAGCTGATGGAACGTTAGTATTATGCTCTCTTTGTGTGTGAATGGGGTAGATTAAATCTCTTTCTTGATAGCATTTAGAAGATGGCAACTGCTTTTAAAGAAGGGGGGTGGGTCATATGCAAGAGAAAACTATACAGCTAATTTCATCAAATTGTATAATTTGGAGACCCTTTGTAGAAGCTTTTCTGTGTAGTTTGTTGTTTACATTGTTAAATATCTAGTAGTTTAGACAAAATAGAACTAAAACTTCCCGTAAAAAAAAAAAAAACAACAACAACAAAAAAAAACAACATTCTAATTATAAATGTGGGTTGTATTTGCAGGTATGACAATGATGACCAGCTGTCTAAAGAATCTGCTTGTTCTGAACCTGGAGATTTAAGAATCATCACTGTGAAAGACGAGAGAGAGATGCCACATGATTGCTTGTCAACGGAGATGGATGACACGTTAGTGATGCTATGGGGTTCTATTTGCATGGTTTACATTTGAAAATATTTTGTATGGATTTTAATTTTCACTTTTAATTTTGCTTATTAGAAACTCATGTCATTCATGCTCTAATTTCTTACCTAAAAGCATCTCAGTAGTTAACGGTTGGTCCAGTCTTTGTGAGGCAAGAATCAATGAGAGATTTTGGAAAAGTTTTCTCTTGGAGTACACACAGTAAACTTGCTTGTTCAGTGACTGCCTTCCTTAATCATATATAATTTGTGAGTGGAACAAGAAAATAGCTGCTCTACGTATATTAGTCACTTTAGTAAATAATGAGCCTTCACGGTGATACAGTCTACAGGCACATGTGATTGTAGTGTGTGCTTTAACATTTCTAAAAAGAAAAATGTTTAATTGTTTACTGTTTGAGTAATAATACATACAAAGTGACATGTTAACCTGTTTAAAAATAGTGCTGTGCTCAACGAGGCAACCACACCGTCAGTCGACTGCTGATTTCTTTTACTGCAGTGTCATCAGTCACTAAGGCATTCACAGTTGAGATCAGAGGAGCCTCAAATAGGTATGCTTGTCCATTACTCTTTAGGTTTCAATTATCCACAAGTATTACTGAATAACTGTAATTTCATCCATGTCTTAGTTATCAGACCTTTAAAAATGTATCTTTTAATGTGTGCAGGGGGACACTGAGAACCTAGGACATTACATTGGCATTGCATGATGTGTCCAAACCCTTCGCTAATATGAAGTATGTAATGCATGTAGCATGTTTGTCTGAATCTTGTTTTCCACTGTTCTGTTTTTTTGCGACTTCCCTAATTCTTCTTACTTTTGATTTTAGTAGGTGAACATGTTGGGGTTCTGAAAGCAATTCAGTGGCTCAGAAGAATTCTTGGAAGCTAGGTCAGGAGAACACAAATATCAGTGCTGATGAAGCCGAAAATTTCAAGTGCATTCTTCAAAATAACATTTTTCTCTGGCACTATAGCTTTAGTTTGGAGTGCAGCCAACAATAATTGAATTCCTGGGATGGATCTTATTCAGGTGAGACAGAAACCTTGTTCTTACTTGATTGCTTATTTCTGCCCTTTGAGCTGTGAGAAATAATATGAAAAATTGTTTGGTGTGAGAAAAACTTTTTCATCTGAAAGGTAAGGTATGGGATGCTTCATTACAGACTTATAGTGTGTGCGTGCTAAGATATTAAGTCACACTGATTATGTGAAATGCTGGACAAATGATCAGGCATGTATGCAGTGGTTGTACAAAGCCAAGGCAGCTGTTTGAGAACAAAGAGATTCAAAGAGAAGTAGTACTTTATAGAGCAGATACCTTAGTGCATACCGTGTTGTTCTGTGGAACATTCACCCACAAGAAGTAGTTGTATAGCGTGTCTGTGAGGATAAGAATTCTGTGTTTCAGTCTCTGAACACCACATCCTCAGTAATGCTTTTGTTTTTCATTCACAGTATACTGATGAGATAGAGTGATAATGTTACTGGAGGATTCTTAGTAGCTGTGGGAAATTCATACAGTGGTCAAGTGATTTGCCTAAAGTCATGTTGGTAGCTGAGCTTGGGTCTTAAAAGTAAGACTAAGCTCAATATTAACTCAGTGTTTGTAGATGGATGTGCAAGATTCTTAGCTATTTTAGAAAATACTGGTTTACCTTCTGAAAGGAACAGTAGCTCTGTTGATGGATTTAAAAAAAAAAAAATCCAAGAAACCTACACTTCCTGTTGAAGGGTGGAGATGAAGTCAGGTAGCTCCTGCTTTCCAGGCATTTGGGTGTCATGTTTTTCTGTTGCTGTTACTGTTTTGAGGATGGTAGAGTATGTCTTTTCATTTTGTACAGCCAGGAAAGAGCCAGGAAAAGAACAATTTGAAGTACAGTTTCTGCAACAAGTTCTTGTTGAAGGTCCTTTCTTAACAAATTGTGCATTAATGATCATAATCATAAAGTGGCTGTTTTATTTTAGGCCTTTCATCTAGTCTACTAAGTTGGCTAAACACTAGCTGTTGAGGAACTGGAAATAGCAAGTACAATGAGGAAGAACACTTAAATTCACCTGTTTCTTCAGTGGCTTTAATATTTGGTTCGTCTTGTTTTTGGAGTCTTGCCCACTGGTGTTAGCTTTCAGAGGTTGCTCTTGCTGGAGAGAAGTTGTTGGAGAAACGGTGAGGGAGTCAAGTAGTGGGGACTCTGGGATTTCAAGATTCTTGCCAGGTGAACTGGCATTGTATTTTGAGTTCTGGCTATTGTGAAGAGTTGGAATGTTGAAATAACACAGGAAGAAAAGAACACATGGAAATTGCTTTAAAGCATTATTGGCAGGGTGTAGCCAAAGGGAAGTATTACGGAACCATGTCCAGTTAGGTTCCTGAATACATTCAGTTCTTCTATAATGCTTCTTCTGTTACTTACTTTCACCCTACATTTTAAAATTCAGAATACTAACCTAGATCTAACCTATCTAGATTCAAATTGTTTTTCTGGTTTTAATGTAAAAAGTGCAGAACTGTCGAAGCACATAATTGACTATTTTTTGTTTGTTTGTTTGTTTTCTTTAATATTTGTAATTTAATGTAAAGATTGAAGGTTGATTTAAAGTAGTTGAGTGGGGAGTTTTCTTTGTTTTAAAGGAACTGTAGGGGATTTTAGATTATTTTTAAATCTCTGGCACTCAAATATTTCAGTAGTAAAACTCCTTTGGCTGGACTTCTGTTACTGAGATGTTGTCTTGATAGAGCTGGCTTTCCTGGAATTTGATTATTCAATGTATCTTTTACATTCATTAAGAAATAAACCAAGAACAATATATACAAAGAATGCAGATAGAAAATACTCAAAAGTGCCACAGCAGTTGGATGAGGAAGACTGAAACCTGTACAGTGGGTTGGTGTCAGTCACTAGTAAATGCTTAGTTGGGAAGCCCCTTCTTTGAAGTAGACTTCATCTCCAGTTCCTGTCTTCCCTGAAATGGTAGTGACAGCTCCTTTTATAACGATTTTTGCTATGTAGCTTTTCTTACAAGCGAGAGAGTCTGTATTGCAAAAGTTCTCTTAAGTAATCTGTTGTCTGAAAAGCTGTATGGCTGCTGTCCAGACAAGGTAATTGTAAATTGTAATTACCTAGCTTGAAAACAAAATAAACAATCATGAAGAAATGTCCAGCAGAATGTTAATACTGAAGGCTTGCCATGACAACAGTATGAACAGCTCAGTGATGGAAAATAGAGTGGAGTTTCTTAGCAAGCAGGAAAGTAAACCTTTAAATTACATTTTAAAATAAATTAACAAAATAATCTGCTTAACCAGGAGAGCTTCCTGTGTTCTACCAACAAATTGAATTTGAATCCCTTTTTTTCCAAAATTGTTCCGACTAGTCTACGTTTAGATCCTCTGAATATGACTGAAGTATGACACAACAATTCTTGATTGAACTAAAAGACTCTACGTGTATTGGTTTTGGTCTTCAGTATTCATAGTTTGTTTTTAATTACATCAAAAAAACATCAAACAAACAAAAAAGACAAACCACAATCAGTGATTATTTCTCTAATGTAACTTGAAAGTGAATGTAGAACAGTGCTTTTCCTTACAGAACATTGAGTGATTAGTCTAAGACACGGTGCACTTAATTAAGTAGTTGACTATTGTAATGCTAAATGTTGATCTGTATTTTACTCTAATCAAGTCATGTGTATAAATCATATAATCAGACCAGTATCTTTTATTTTATATACTGCAAGTACAAAAGCACAAATGGGTTGTTCATAATTTTCCATCATTTCAAAGTTAGACAAAAGTATTAGGGGAATGTATTAGTCATATTTCTTGAAATAATGCAAGCATACTTTGTATTTAGGTACTTGAATGTCACATAATAATTATAATCATTGTGTTACTTTTCAGGGTAACCAGTAAGAAGAAAGTCAAGCACTTGAATGACAATACCGGGGCAGTTTTTGGTCTTTTTTGATTTTGCTGTGAGGGTATTGTGAACTATAAAGAATCACTGTAAATTCTAATATGAAATCCTGTGTTACTTGTTGAACAGCAAATTAAACTTAAATAACTAAAGTTTTATTGTGTTACTTTAACACTAATAAAGCGTGTGGAGTGTATTTATTTCACTGTGAGAGTCTGTACATGGTTTTCTGAAATGGCAACAAGAAAAAAAACGGTAATAATAATAGGTACATCTCGAGCTTATTCAGAATTTTATTTATTTTCTGTAGTTTGTATTAATGAAAACATTCCTCACATTTTATTTAAAGCTCAAAGGGTTAAAGTAGAAACAACTTTCTAGTAGCAGCATCAAGCATCTTTACTTCTTGATGTATTTATTTGAATGCTGTTTGCTAGGGAGCAAATTTAAAATATCCCACATAATGGAAGGCATTCTTGGAGGCTATTTATGCACTTAATATTGACGGTTAAAGTAATGGACTGTAAAGTGTGTTGTGTTATTTCCCTCTAAAATATGAGTAATCAAGATCAGATATCATGTTGTTTATTTAAGTATATTTCATTACTGAATAATTTGATCTCTTGCTTTGGCTTTTGACACTGTGAAAGCTGATACGTAATGGTATTTATTATGCCTGTGATACGGTGCATCTTAATTATTTTGTCTAAAAAAGATAAATTAAATATGGAGTACTTTTAGTAATTGAAGCTCAATAGAGTGGAGTTTGCAGTTCTGATTTGGTTTTGTAGTTACTAGATATGAATAATCTTGGAAAGTTTTTAAAAGAGAAATTACTGTGATTGTATTCAACATATGTTTGTCAAAAGGCCAGAAACTCCCAATCTTCAGATTTTTTTCTTTAAACCACACATTTTCATAAGTATTTAGGTCCCAGTCTTACTCTATTCAAGCCAATTGGGATTTCCCATTGACTTGCAGCAGAACAGCCTTTCTCTATGGAGTAATTCCCCCAAGTAGGTCTTTCTATTCAATATTCTGTATTTTTAATGAGCTACTTCA